AGATTCTCCTGCAAGACGAGAAGATTTTTTTAAGTATATCTGGCTTAAAAAAGCTACCTGTGAAGTTCTGCTTTTACCGATGGTTGCAAAATGTCCCAGCAGTTGAAAGAGCCTTTGAAATATGAGATGACTTGCTACTGTACATTAAAGAAGTTAAAATGGGGAAATTTAAAAAAAAATTCATCGAAATCCTTCTCAAATATTTTGGAGGCAACTAAAGATAAAACATTCCTTATAAAATTAAATTTTTTTCTCTCTCTGTCGAAAATATTATTGCCTTTCCTTGAATATTATTAAAGTGAAAGTTTTTTGCTGAAGATAACTTAAAACTTGTAAATGATTGTCTTCAGCACTTTAAAATTTTGAAACTAGAATATTTAAAAATAACTAAAGCAGAAAATCTTTATAATGTTTATAAAGTTTAAATCTTTATTTGTTATAATGATAAAAGTAAAGTTTATTTATTTGGATTCATTGCTGAGCAGTTAATGAATGATATAAATGCCGCAAGAAGGACATTTCACAAGCTGAAAGTTTTGCATTGAAACAAGGTCAACAATGTGTCTTAACAATAGTACAACACTTAATGTCTAAATGTCCAATAATTATTCTCTTATTCGAAATGCATCTTGTATAGGACCCGCGATTGATGGTTAAAAGTCCAGAAAAAGCCCAGAACAAAATGAAAATAGTTCTAACGGTATTAATGCAGAATAAAACGTGTTTTTACAAGATGATTGGGATGAAATTCTGCTGCAGTTTGGGAGAGTTTCTAGACAAAGTACTTAAGACAAATTAACATGAATTTTCTACTTTTGATCCTCAAAATCTTTCTCTTGACACATTTCTCACTTCTTATTTTCATGATTTTCAATATTCAAAAGTATGGAAAATAGTGAAAATGATTCTTATCTTGTCACATGGACAGGCCTCTGTGGAAAGGGGCTTCTCTGTAAATAAAGCAATTGAAATTGAAAATTTAAGTGACTCCTCATACATTTTTCAATGCACAGTATTTGATTACATAAAATTTTCTGGAGGTGTTCTTAATATCGAAATTAATAAAGAAATGAGATCAGCAGCAGCTTCTGCAAGGTCTAAATATATGCAGTATTTAGAAGAACAAAAATCTTTAACTAAATCTGAAAATTCAAAGAGGAAACGAAATATCATTGAGGAAGAAGTTGATTATATGAAGCAGAAGAAAAAATTTCTTCTTCAAAGGGACTTAAAGATATAATGAAGAAGTAGATGCTTTAGCAGATGAAGCTGAGACCAGCATGAACATTGATTTGTTTATCAAAGCAAATGAACTTAAGAATAGTTAAAGAAAAGGAAATAGACATAAATAAATTAGATGTTAAAATAGCTGAAAATATTTCAGGTTTAAAAAAAGCACAAATGTTTTGTATCTTTTATTGTACAGTTTATTATTCTAGTATCTTTCAAAAAACCAAGGAAATAAATTGTATGTTTACAAATCAGTTATTTTAATCTGCAAAATATTCTTACATTGTGATTATAATAGTAGTTGACTGTGTTTAAATAAATATCAAATAAGTTAATAATAATCATGTAAATCTCTAAAATAGTGTCTGTTATTAGTGTAAAATACACTTATACATGTTTTTAAAGAAATTATGTTCCTAATTTAATGTTATCTACATCATAACTTGTAGGGAGTTAGTTTAATTTTCAAAATTGTTTTATGGTAAGTATTAAAGTGAATTTAATAATAGTGCATAATACACACTTCTGTTAGTTTCTTAAAGTGAAATTACAAGCATGAAGTCGGTTGTATGGATAATTGCTTTATTCTTTTTGTTTGCTGATAGGTCCTTAATTTTTTCTTTGATGTCCTTAAAAGTCCTTAATTTTCATGTAAGAAATGTGTACGAACCCTGAATATAGCTGATTGTGAATTTTACATGCTACACAAGTATCTACAGTTCTTTTAATTTGTAAATCCCTTATATCTAGAAATGAACCTGATCACTTAGATAAGATTGTTAAGAAGTTATTTCGTTTTCATATACGACATCTTTGTATTGAAAAACAGTTTGCTGAGTAGTCTTATCTGAGTTCTGTACTGATTTGAATTTTGTGTAAGTAAAAATTGGGGTGTATAGTATTTATTGCTGATGGTTCAAGTAATTTAAGAACACAAACAGCTTATCCCTGAAGACTCAGTTAAATGGATTTTATATACTGTCTTCCAAAAGTTAAGCAGCATAAAATGCCAATAAGCAAATTTCGAAAGCATACCTAATTTTGAGTAGTTGAAAATTGCTGCAGATGTAGATGGCAGTATGCAAATATTCTAATCAATCATGACTGACTGTTCGAACATATGCTAATTGGGCAATCTGAAGACATCAGTATTCTGAATAGTTCAAGGAGGTTCATTTAAATGCTGGTACAAAATGTTTTTAACTTTCACAGACTAATTTTTGATAATATTAATGTTTCTATGTCTGAACAAAGACAATGGCAAGTAGTGAGCTCTGTCATGCTGTCAGATGCATTCAGTAGAACATTCAATCAAAAAAGCTGCTCCTTTCTTTGGCATTGATCATTTGATACTTTCTTGAATATGGGAACAGTTCCAAACAAGTCAAGCAGTTATCCTCAGATCTGTGCATGGTTAACCGAGAATTGCCGCCTTTTCTGAAGATTGGTGTATTGCTGTAGTAGCCAAGCAGAATTGATGAGAGACCTCAATAACTGTTACATCAATGGTTGCAACATCACTTGGTAACACAATATTTGCCAGTAATGTGCACCAAAGGCTTTACGTAAAGGAATTACAAGACCAAGTGTGTATATTCCACTAATCGCACAGTTCTAGGGGCAAAATTAAAATGGTAAATATTTGAGTCAATTTTGATGTTACAAAATCAAAATTGTAGCATCAGGATGGGCAGCAAATTGTTATATCAAATGGCTGTAAATTTTTGTAAATATTTGGATCTGTTTAATGTTACAGAATCAAATGGACTCAAATATTTACTGAAATTTACGACAATATTATCATCTTTCTACAAGCAGATCATATCTCTTCAAAGTATCATATTTTTGTCTTCATGACACTAGTTAAAGGCAGCTTGCAGTTTCGATGAGTGCATTATTTCCATTGTCATCCATGTTGGAAAAATTTATTGATATTGTTAAATGTATTCACCACAAAAACAAGCCTTACACAAATTTAAATGCTTTGTGATCGGTCAACTACTATTGATAAACAGTGTCAGAATCCACTAACAAATGGTTCAATACAAAGGTTCTATTACAATTTTTGTAAGAAAATAAGAAAAACTTAATTACCTTTTCTTGTTTGCAAGGACAGTTGAATAACTTGTGATTATGTGTAATAAAATAATAATTGAAAGCTAAACTTTTTAAAATATGAACTACATTGATATTGGTGCATTTGTCCACCAGCACTTTTTATTCTGGTAAAGTGTGTCATCAACTCTTCTCCTCAGAAATCTTAAACATTACATAAATTCCTTTTCTGAACTTTCAAAGAGTAAAATTAGTAAAACAAAGGAGAAAATGCATGAATAAATATGGTACAGTCAAAAGTCGTTAATTCGGACACCCATAATCTGGACCTCAAAGCTAAAATCTTTCTGCGCATGCGCCGCGTTGACGCATGCTCATAGGTGTTTTACGCGTGCGCGCAAGACATTTACGACTGCGCATATGTGTCTGCGCAAGCGCAGAATACGTTTTCGCGTGCGCGTTTAATGTATAACGGACGGTATAAGCTAAAATTATCTAATTATCTATTTCAGTTAATGTTGATGATTGCGTTGTTCCTTAATCTTCGAATTGAATCCGGCTTATTATTTTTTGCAGACTGTAAGAGCAATTTTATAAAAGTAAACTTGAACTTTCGATTATGTCAAATAGAATTTTCGATGCTGGAGCTCCCAAAGGATCTACAAAACGAAAGTATGTTTCGATGTCCGTCAAACAAAAAACAAATTGCTACAAAAAATGGATAAAGGTATATCCTTTGTTTAACTAACCGTTCCGAAATCTGTTTATCAATTTCACGCTGCTCTGCGCGGGGGGGGGACATGAACTGGAAGTTGATCTGTCACCACTATCATTATCTTCAGGGCAGACGTTTTTATTTTATTCGGCTTATAATTCCTTACTAAATGTAGTATTTAATCTTGATGTCCTCCGTCTTTGATATGATTTAAATCAAATTCCTAGTCATTATAAATATCACGAATACAAATCAAATAGTTTTCTGGTTGCAATTTTCTAATTTCGGCTATGCATAAGGTACGCATGCGCGCGTTGAAAGAAATGTTTAATAAAGTAAACAAATAAATATTAAGCTTCTTTTTTTTTGTACATTTTGATACCTTTTAGATCATAATTGCTCATTATTTTATAAATTACGGTTTCATATTTTTAATTTTATAATTTCTGCATGCCATCTTACCAGATTTAAACTGATGATCTATAATCCGGAAAAATCGTTAATCTGGAATCGCCGAAGTCCCGACGAGTCCGCATCAAAGACTTTTGACTATATCAGCCAGTTACATATTTTTTGCATTCAAAAAATAAAAGACAGACCATATTTTGCATTTGTTGGGATTTTCAATCTTTTAGTCTTAGAATTTTTAGGGGAAAACACGATATTCTTGCTAATGTATAAAGAGTACTTTTCGATTATGCACCTGCCACACGTTTTAGCGCCTGTGAAAGAGAAGCGAAACGCCATCATTATGAGTGTGTTTGTGTATCTATTAAACTATTCTTGTAATTAGAAACTATTTATAATTAAAAAAACCTGCCAAAATGTGTGGCAGGTGCATAATGGAAAAGTACTGTATAAAGGTTTGTGGTCACTTTTGTAAATAAATTTTGCAGAGGAAGTTTATTCTGATGCTTGAATTTTATCATGAAACTACGTTTATTATATAGCCTTAAAATATTAAGCAGTGAAAATACATAAATATTAAAATTTTGTTTAGATCCTGATTATTTGAAATTCTTGGAGAGCTTGAAGAATCCAGATGAAATAACACTTCCTTCTGCTGAAGTTTATCTGGAAGAAATAGAATCAAGAGAAAAAGAGCTGAAAGGTACTTTTCTCATAAGGATTATATTTTGTAATACTGTTCTGCCCTGTATTTTCTAATTTTAGCTATCCGCAGTTTACCATGCCACGCCGCCCTTCCATTTTGAAAATTAAAACAAATAAATGGTTTGTAATTACACTAAGTGAGTAGAGCAAGAACATTATTGAGAAACCACAACCCAAATGTGGCAGGTATTTTCCTATGACTGATTTAATTGTAATGCATAAATATATATGCTCATTTTAGGCTGTTTTCTCTGTATAGATTTTATTGCATCATTTTTATCATACTGATATCACTTATAACTACACATGGCATTGTATGGTACTTTTGGTACTATCTTATTGAAGGCACCAAGATTATCGATGAAGAATCAATGCAAACCATTTTCAAGTAGCCTGCAGTTCTAATGATGATCATATATAATTTGTTTGTGACAAAAAGAGCTCAATCAATAATATATTATTGTAGTTTCCTTTTCCCTATAAATGTTAGCTATAAATTATGATCATTCATAATTCTGTCATCACAAGAAGAGCACTTAAATATTCCACATGGTAGTATGCTATTTAATTTTATTTATTTTATTTTTTTAAAGAAATGTTTGAATTACCGAGAAGTAATGAAAATGTTATTTCTTTCTTCCAAGAAAGATACATTTTCCCTCATATCTGAATATGTCAAAATAGCCATAAATAAAATAAAATTACATGTATATCAATGAAAGTATTTGGAAGTCAGATGTGAAAATTTGCAGGCGAAGGAAAAACATACTTCTTAACAGCTTATTCACTGGTTTCAGAATACTGTTGTAATAACATAGCATTTTAACAGCATTTGTAACATATTTTCCATTGGGCAGAGGAACTAATATTGACTATAGTCCGTTACTTTAAAATAGGAATTTCAAGGTTATTTTCTGCTGCCCAATTTGACTCAAAACGATGGTAACAATAAACTGCAGAAAAAAATCGGCTCATTTAATCCTTTCTGACATTTAGGCATACCCAAAAAATTCCCTCTGTACACACAGAAAAATTGAAATGGAAAAGGCTTTATTATCGGTTACTACTTTTTCATAGGTTACTTTCTTTATTTATACTAGATGGCGACACAACAGAAACTACTAGTCCATACATTTTAGCCATGTTTGGTTTTTAAAAACCCTCATTTTTCAATTTTTTTTTTAAGGATATAAAAAGAATTGTTTAAAAAGAAATTTCTATGCTGTTTTCTTGGTGTTGTATGCTATTCTCTTTATTCTGTATTAGTTTTAAATTTTTACTTTGAAATCTTGCCTTAAATCGGAAATGAACATCTGGTGTGCCCATAGCGGGATCATTGAAATATCAGGACCAGACCAACAACAGTATTTTGGTTTCACAGAATATTTTCTTCAGTGAGCTCTTTCAGAATAGAAAGGTGGGTGCACATTTGTGTCTCGTTTCCTGTTTTTTTTTTCTTTTTTTCCACCCTTCTTTTTTTCCTTTCTTTTCTTTTTCTTTTTCTTTCTTTCTTTTTTTGAAGGGGAGGTTTGGTTATCAACTAAGAAAACATTAGGGTGTTTTTCTGAAGGTGAGGTACTTTTCTCAGTTAGCTCTTTGATTTTTCTTTCACTTTTGTTGAAAGAAGTTTTGTTAGCTTTACGTTCTGGAATTTTGGATGAAGCACGACCCACCTTGATAGTTAAACATAATTTATTTTTGAATGACGAATTTTTTAGCACATATCTTCATAACTGGTAGAAGATAAGGGGGGCTAAATGTGCCTCATAATTTAAGATAAGCCATTATATCATAGATAATGAAGAATAGCTAGCAGAGGCTAAGCGAGACGTTGTCAGCAGGAAGGCTAAATAAAGAAAAGAGAGAGCGACTATGCAGTTAGTAGCTATTTATATTAGAAGTTTTGCTTTAATCTGATTGGCCGAGGAATTATGTGCAATGTAGAGGTTACAGAATTAATTTCCAGATATGAGCTGTTTTCAAATTAAAAAGGGAAATTAAGAGAATTAAGAGCTAATTTAAAGTATAATATAAAGTTAAATTTTTAAAAAAATTTTACATATTCCGTTCCTTCAAGAAGAAAAAGGCTTGGTGATAGCAGAGAAGAAAATTTTGTATAATATTCACAATTCTGTTGATTAACCAAATGATTTACTGCAAGATTAATTTAGAAATCTAACGATTTAAAAACATGTTAAAAGCAATTAAAAAAATGTAATAAAATATTACATAATCTGTGAATTAAATTTAGAGTCTAGTTTTGAAGATAAATTTGTAACGTTCTTGAGGTGGCATAAAGATCACATAAAAATTTTTTAGTCTTGAGAAAATCTTTCATAAAGTGTATGTAATCAATATAAAATCAAGATATTCCTTTTAGACATCCATGGAACTTACATTAAAGTTAATATTTGCTTACATATTTTAAAACAACAGACACTCTTATTGCAGAGCAATGTAAGGATTAAAGTGGAATATGAACAACTACAATAGAACAGAATAATAAAATAAACTATGATTGAAATGGGCAGTTCCTCAACAAGTGAATCAGCGTGACAACTTGTTGATGGCTGTTAGATGCTTAAATACAATAAGACCTCAAAGTCTCCTTTTTTTAAAAAAAATTTTATAAAAGTAACTGGCTTTTAATATTGTATGAAAAACCAAATTTTTAATTAATTTTTATGGCCGTAAGTAGCAAATAAAAACTTTGATTTTTTTTTTATTTTTTTTATTTATTTTTTTTTTTATCTGCAGTGCTAAAAGCCAGTTACTTTTTATAATAATCAGTGGTTTTCATGTATGATTGAATTTGAGCATCGCACAGCCATCAACAAGTTGTTATGCTGATTGGCTTGTAGAGGACTTTCTATTTTTCATCAAAGATTGCATTTTGTTTGTTTTTGTATATTAATTAATACATTGCTCTGCAATAAGAACATATGATTTTGTTTTAAGTAATAAAAGCATATGATTTTGTTTGATTTGGGTATATTATTTTAATAAGAACGTATGATTTGTAAATAGTACTAATTTTACTGGAATTTTATGGGTATATGCTTGAAATATTTTGATTTTATATTGATTATAACATATTATAACATTATTATATTATTATATTGAGTTTCTTGGAAAGACTTTCGAAAAACTATTAAAATTTATTATGTGACCTTCAAGCTACAATTCCTGAAGAATTTTAAAATTGAATTATAAATTTAATTTACAGAATAATGTTTTTTTCCAGTATTTCTAAATTACATCTTGAAGCAATTTATTTGTTTTATCATTGAAGCTGTGATTATTCTACAAAATTTCTCTTCCTTTACTAACACATTAATGCTTTCTTCTCAAAAGTCTTTTTCTCACCAAGACCTTTCCTTTTTGAAGTAGGGGAGTATGTAAGATATAAAATATGTAAATCAAAATTATAAGTTAAAAAACTTCTTAATTTCTCATTTTTAATTACCTTTTTAGAATAACTTTCTTGAAACTGTGTCATATCTGAAAACTAATTCTGCTTTATGGCATCTTCATTGCGTAGAAATTTTCTGCATTGCGTAGAAATTTTAGCTAATCAGATTAACGAAAAATTTTACTATAAATGCCGTTACAGTCCAACTACCCTTTCTCTTTCTTTGCCTATGCTTGCTAAATGAAGGATATCTCTTGCTTTGTTGCATCTGTTAAAAATGTTATGTGTCATCATCAAAATTGTGGGGTGCAAAGTGGCCCCATTGTTATGTGCCATGCCATAAGGCAATCATGAAGTAGTGAGATATTTGTATTGCCATGTGATTTTGTGACTGTTCAAAAGTTCTCCACATCTTCTACTATGTAATTGATGTTTTCAGTGATCTTCTAACCTCAATCCACTCATGACTGCAAAAAATTCCCTTCTCTAGTCAAGCACTTATCATATATCAAATTACTGCGAGAAACAAAATTATATCATCACATGTATGTATACATATAAAACTAAAGAATAAAGATTTAAACAAGTATTTATTTTAAAATAAATGTTTAGTATTTGCAATTTGTAATGTAAGCATTTGGATCTAGCTATAAATGTATGCATATTATTTCATTTAAAATAATTTTATATATATATTTTCCCTTATTTTTAGCTAATAATGGTGTTCCTAAAATGACAACTCCTCTAATTGAATACTTGAAAGCTCGAAAAATGGAACAACAAGTAATTTTTATATTATTTTTTAAATAAAGGAAAAATATTAAAATTTGAGATTTATATTAACATTTAATAAAGTCAAAACACTTACAATGATATTTGTTTATCTTTGTGGTATAATTCTCTTTTTTCTGTCATCTGAGATGCATTTGGATTTGGAAATTAAAAGTGTTTTGTGTATGTGATCTCAGTGCTTAATATAGCAATAGCTCGTTTGTGTACCAGTACCAGTCAGTAGCTAATTATACCTATGACCATAATACCAGTTAATAGCTTGTTTGTGTGTATTATAAATATTGTGTTCAGAAAAAATTCCCCTTTTTTATTAGTTTTGTTCTTTGTGAATTGGGAGAGGAAAATTATCTGGGTATATTATTTTTGAAGGAAGAGGCTAAAGAAAAATTTAGCAAATAAAAAAGTATGCATGGGTACTAATATGATTGTATTTTATATGTTAAAGAAGGCAGTTGCAATTGTTATGCTCAGTACTATTCTTTTTATTTACACATTGTACTCCATGATTTTTATGTTGCTGCCATAAATCAGAAGTTCCTAAATCATATGCTGAAATATATGATAGGGAGAAATCTTTATGCTGAAAATGAATGTTATATGAAATCTATGTTTGATATGTAAGATACTTAAAATCATTTTGTAAGTAATTAGTCTGCTTCAGCCAGCTGAGTGGAGCTACTGCTTCATGCAGTAGCTGAGTGGATAAGACCATCAGGTTTGAATTCCAGTGAATTAATTGCTGTATGGGCATTTTTATGGTTTTCTCCATGCATTGTATGAATGTGAGACAAAATTCGTGAGAAAGATCTTATCTGGTCTGAGATATAAGAAAGAACATAGTCCTTGTGTGGTTTAACTTGATTAAACAAATAAGTTGCTTCAAAATGTTAATTGAAACTGATTCATTTGACTGAAAACAAAAATCTTGATAAAATACAAATGTATGAAGATAAAACCATTTTGCAGAGATGACTGTTATTTAGAATTGAAGCACCTGAAGTAATTTTTGTGCTTTGCAAAAAAGTCGCAGTGGATCATTGCGACTTATTTTTAACTACAGTTTTTTTCTACTCGATCATTGCAGCTGTTTTTTCTAATGTATTATGAGTGTCATTAAGTGAACATCATATTACACTATGAACATCATCAAAATATTGTAGTAAAGTTATTGATTTACTTCAGTATGAAAATCAGCTCATTCAGTTTGAGCTTGATGTTTGTGATTGATAATGGATAAGAAGAAATCTCTGCTCTATTCATCTGCAAATTGTGGTAGGATATTCAGAATGTAATCAATTTGCTTTTGAATATTCAGCAATTATATTTCTTTCTTCAGTCAATCTGATTTATTGGCAAGAATCTTGTGGACTATGCATTTTTTTTTATTTAAAAAACGTACTGTATAGAGGAAATTATATAAAATCATATATATTTGTATGTGTGTGTATAAATTTAATTATTAATTTTACATTTATAATTATCTCCTAGGAAAAGAAGTATAAAATATTGTAAACTGAAATTTGGAAATGTTTATTTTTAATATAACTGTGAAAAAACTATTAAATACTTCTAATAAACATAGAAGTTTAAAATTTGTATGGTATGCATCAAAAACTTTTAACCCTTTAAAATAAAATAAAAATGATAGTATATACATAGAAAAGGTAGAATAGTACATAAAAAATTATTGTCAAATTGTATGTGTATATATATAATGCATGAAATTGCTTTCCATGAGAAAAATAATATGCTGTTAGGCATCCAAATTGTAAGAACATAAAAGTGACATGTAAGAGACATCAAATTTATATGAATTACATTTACTATTTGCTGAGACATGCTAATGATAAGTATTCCAATGCATTTGCACCAAACAGGTATGAAAAATGCCATCTACATTGTGTGTATAAATGGAAAGATTGCACAGCGGATTTCTCATTTGGAAACCACATTTGAACTTTAAAGGTTGTGTTATGCTTTGTATAAGAAAAATATATTTATATCAGCATCTGGTATGGAGGGCCATTGGGTACACATCCTGGTTACATCTTGTTTGCATATCTGTGAACATGGATAGCTGATGCTACATTTCTGATTTCTTAAGGCTTGTCACTGTGGCGATGTCTGTGGCGCCTACATTTCATCTTTCAGCAAGATATTGCACAACCACATGTTGTCTGTGCTGTCCTTCCTCGATATAGAGTGTTTTTAGTTGTTGCCTTAACCAATGCATTCTCCAGATCTCACTTTTTGAAAACATCTGGTCATGAATTGCTGATAGCATGCTAGCACTTTCCAGCTACTACAGTTCATGAATTTTGGCATAGAGTTGAAGCAGCATGAAATGAAATAGGCATATCTGTCACCCGAGCTCAATATGATTCAATGCCTAGCAGGATTACAGTCATAAGTGCTGCCGGAGGTGGCAGGTTTGCTTACTAAATTCTGCATGCTGTGTACGTCAGACCACCAGCAAATATAATCATGTCTTCCTGCCACTATACTGTATATATAATATATAACAAGTAAATTTCATTCCTGGTGTAACAATTTTAATGGCCAATAGTATATTTTGTATTGTTTCAGGCATACCACAGTTTTTATTTTAAAGTGTTTTCTGTAATATTAAAAATTATATAAATTCCTATATTCTTCAATGTATTTTAAGTTTTCCTAATTTAAATGTTCTATATCTAGATCAATTTTCAAATTGTCACTTGTTGTTTGTTATAAATGTAACTACTTTTTTGGGGGGGGGGTAAATTATCCCTTCCTACTATTTCCTTTCATTCAGTTTTTCCCCCTTTCTTGTAAATTGGGGTTTCGAGTTTCTAAGTTTGTAATATTAAATTTTTGGAATTAAAAAAGTTTCTTTTAACTTTTTGTCTGGAAAACTGTTGTTGAGAAATTTCTTGCTGGTCTAAGCATATATTGGATTATTTTTTTAATTTTACTTGACAGAAAATTAGGGAAGAGAAACGGGAAGAGCGAAAGAGAAAAGAAATGGAGAAAAAACGAATACGAGAAGAAGAAAGGCGAAGGCGAAAAGCTGAAAAGGACAAAGAAAGAATTAAAGAAAAATTTAAAGAAAAGGAAAATTTATCTGAAAAAGAGGTGGCAGACGACATTGAAGAATCACCAGTAACAGAAAATTTCAAGCCGATAGAACCTATAGTGCAGGTGATTAATTTTATTTTTATTTTTATTTGATTCTAGTTTATTTTCTTCACTCATTTACTTGAAAGTAGAATGTGGTATTTGCGAGTTATCCATAATAAACAATAATTAAAGTCTTCAAAAATGATAACATCACTGGAAACATATGCTTCGCTTTTGCAACTATTTTACAGCTACATTGATGTATGTAGTAAGTAGAATAGCAAGTTGTGTACTTTCAAATTTCAACAGTATAATCACGAAGCCATGTAAATTACATGCCTAGAAGTGATGAGTTTGGAACCCAATACAGCAGATAAATATTGTCACTTCCATTTACTTGTCGCTTCCATGGTGACACTCATTTTTAATCTGACGCTGCATTATAGGTGATAGCTAGGATATACTATTCCCAGAAGTATAAAAAGCAGATTGATGCTATAGTTACTCCCCAGCAATTGAAATAATTTATACTAGAATTTTTCCCAATATTAAATTTGTGCTTATTGCAAGAGATACATGAATTAAATTTTGAAATTTTTATTTTATCATATTCCTAATGCACTATGAATTAATTGTCAAATAGTTTTTGTGTTAAACTATTAATTTACTTAAGACTGAATCATTCATTCAGTATGATTTTGTTGTTTCTGATTGAATGAAATAGTGCTTTGAATTATTCTGATTATGGAACTCTAATAAGATATTTATCATCTAATTATATTAATATTGAATGTTTTGCAGTTACTTGTTTGACCTCTGAACTTAGTTATTGCGATTACTTTAATTAATGAAAACTAAGTGTCTTAAGATATGGTTTAAGGTTTTCTTTTAATTTTATATGCATGCTTCAACAAAGCATTTTTATTTATTTTGTGTGAATGTACTTGTGAACAAAGTATATTGTACAAACAAAGTATATCTATGTGCATATATATATATGTATTTTTGTATTTATGTGTGATTGAGAGTGGTAGTTGAGAGTTGACAGGAAATGGCTCTCCTTTCCTCAGGACACCATTCATAGTCTCATTGACTCTGTACCTAGATGTGTTGCTTCGTGTATCGCCGTCCAAGGTGGTCCTACAACCTACTGAGCTGGCAGTAGAGTCTGTATTATGCATGCTATCTCTCTGTTTGTCGAGTTTCATCTCTTGCTGGTTTCTAGGTGCTGCATTTTCAATGTCGGGTAGTGTATATATGTGATTATAACTTGTAAATAATCATTTTCAAAAATTAAAAATGTTAGAATATAAAATTATAGATACAGATACTGTTTTCAAAGTGATATAACTGTAGGCACACATACTGTTTCAAAGAGATGATTTGTTTCATTGAAGAAAAGGAGAAAAGACTTGTGTTTATTTTATACACATTATGATGACTGCATGGAAAACAATGATTATGTACTGAGATATATAATCTACCAGGTGTACAATTATGAAATGCGATAATTCAGAAGAATGATAAAAAGTGCTTTATTTAAAGTATGCTCCATCACTTGTTATACATTTTTCCCAACTTTGGGGCAATTTGTGAATACCACACCAATAAAAATCTTCCCATTTTGCTGCAAATCATTCACTGACACATTTTTTCACATCACTTGCTCAGCAAGTGTGTGACCCATCGATGCAAACAAGTGATAATCGGAGGGAGCCAATTCTGATGAGTAAGCCGCATGGGGTAGAACTTCCCAGTTGAGTGCTTCCAACGTGAACCAGCTTTGCCATATGTGATGGAGCATTGTCATGAAGAAAAATAAGTTTGTATTGCCTCTTTCAGAATTCTGGCCTTTTTTCAAGCAGCAAATAGTTCAAATCGATCAATTGTCATTGGTAACCTTTAGTATTAACCATTTCTCTAGGTTTCAAACGCTCATAATAGACCACACCCCTCTGATTCCAGCAAACACAGAAAGCAATTCAATCTTGCTGTCGATGTAGGGGATGCACCTGGGTCTACCCATGACTATTTGTGCTCAAAATAAACCACTTTTCATTCCATAAATTTCAAAATTTTCATTTCATAAATCCATTTTTCACAAGCCATTTTACTTGATGCTTTTTTTTTTTTTTTTTTTTTTTTTTCTGTGCCAGGTATCAGTAATTTAATTTAGCTTCTTTTCTGGTAAAATTGTCTTTATAGCTAATGTTCGCACGCAAAGATTTTCGTTTAACTGGAATAAATTTTACAATTCCTGATTTACCAAGAGATGACAAGGGGCTGTTTTTTTTCTTCAAGAAAGATATATTCTTTATATTCTTTATAAAGAAAGATAAATGTTTTGCTTGAATAATTACTTCATGAAATTATGTGACTGGAAGTCAAAATGGTCATGCAGCCTTTGTTCATGTCAGAAAGAAAAAGATGTGTGAACACATGTGGTTTATTGAATTCAGCATTCCTATATTCCTGTCGTTACTGCCGTTTTATTTACTTATGATATCAGGAGTTATCTCCTGAGTTTTCGAAACCAGAGCTTGCTTCTAATAAATCATAACACAGTGGTTGATTGGAATAATTACATGAGGAGGAAGTGACAATTCCTTGTCCTAACATTAAAATCAATGAATGCTACTGAATTTTAAAAACTTTTTTTTGATGAATGCTTATTCTCACACACACATGCATATTTGCTTTGTTTTGTCTAGTATTGAGCCAAAGGTGAATGGGAAGAAATAAGTCAACATATCAGGATTGGTGTTCCTCCTTACTTGCTTTGGAAACATTAACTGTCCTGATTCGGAACAGGGAGCTTACTGAAGCTATGTTCAATAAATTGTGAAGTAGACAATACACACAGGAAGGGTATACGAAACCCTTTATTTTTTCTCTCTTTACAATGATTTCCGGAACTTCGGAATACAGAGACCAACCACTTGTGGTCTGAACGTAAGAATATAAAAATATTAACTAAACTAAAGTAACTTTGGATTAATAAACAAGTGCCTAACTCCAAGATTGGCCGTATATTAACAAAAAGCCGTATGTAGTACAGAGAACTGCTAACACTACGATACGTTTAAAATTATCACGAGGATTAAACCTCTGGCCTTGAAGGCAACCAGCAACCGAGTAAAACTACTATGGCAAGCGGCCTGCTTCTAATAACTCCTTCCTCTCTCTTGCTTGGCAAAAAGCCACAACTTAAGTACTTGGCGTTAGCAAGACAAATTTGCATAAATAAGTTAAAGCTTTTAATTCTGGCCGGAAGTAGAAAATAAGAAGTGATAGTAAAGATTTAAAATAAATAAACGTTAGTAAACTTAGGATCCTTACATACTACCCGCCAGAGTTAATTAGTTTGAAACTGAGGTCTAAAACGACCTTGTTGAAAACTTTTAGTTCTAGAATCTAACGCGAGGCCAATCTTTTACAAATATTTCTCTCTAGAAACTAGAAATTAAGTCGTTTTTACATTATCAACTCCATGGACAAGTATTTTCATCTGTACTGCATCTATAAACAGGAGTTTCTTAGTTGAAATCTGGTTCCTTATGGAAGGAAAACTAGTTTAATGAAATGTTACACAATCAAATGGCAAGTAACATGAATATTTATATTTCTCCTTTAAAATTCTTATTTCATTCATGACGTTATTTAATTATCTCCCCGTGCTCTCTGACATGTGTTTGTAAAGAAAAAACACCAAACACGAAGCGTGTCTATGTACAAGTGTTCAACACTACCGCCTGCAATCAAAACACTAACGTGTTAAAATTCAACATAGCAAGACCTCAGATCACACCTTATATTCATCTCTAAACCCTGAGGTACTATTCTTAAAAGTGGCTAACTCTGAAGTGTAGCGTCAGAGAGCCTAACTACATTCATTCAACCTTTACCACATTATATAAAATTCTTTATACAATAATTTGCTATTTTTACAGTCACACGAATAAGTTAAAATTTTTGGCATTACTTTCACTTTTAACATATCACAGTATTTCTTAACTTTTAAAATAACAGTTCACATTGTATATAAGGACATATTAACATGCCGTTAATTTTACGCATTTTAAAACATACATTAGTAGTACATTGTTAACTTCTATTCTTTTCCAAGCAAGTGCCAATTCTTCTACATTGAAATACTACATTTCAAAAGTCTTTCAGACTAAAACTTCTTTCTTGCCAGAATCTTTTAAATAAAATTTTATACAATAATTTTTACAATTTTCTTAAGGTACCTTTCTCAAAGATTATCAATGCTTTTACAATATTCAAGTATTTACACATTCCTATTATACATTAATTTTAGTTTTACTCGCGAGTAATTGAAAAACAATATCAAAATAGGTAACAACTCATTTCTCGCCTTTTTGGCGATAAAGGTAGGCCTCACATGAGGTAAAACTTCTTGAATTCTGCCACTTGCAGTAAGAATGAAAATTAACTTAAGGTTTCAAAGTAACATAAAGTTTTACTTATCTTTGTGATATTCAGACATCCTTTTTTCTGCCCAGTCCTGGAAGGTAGCGAAGACTACGGTCTGGTTTATCTTCCTTCTTGTGCGGGTTCGCCCTTCGGTTCCTTCCTCCATGAGCTTTCTTTTTCTTCCAGTTCGGTCACCCTTGAAGACCTTCTTTTTAGCCTCTGCCTGTGGTCTCGGCCGTTTGATGGCAGCTGGTCTTGGCGGAACCGGGACACTTCTCTCTTGTTGTTGCCTGGATCTCGTTGCTGGCTGTTCAAATTTTTTTTTCTTGTTTCTTTGCATCTGCAGCTGGTCTTCCTTCATCAATTCGTCGACATTTGCTGCGTAGACTCCTATCCGATGGGTAGATCTTCCGTTTTGGAGCCGTGTTATAGTTGCTGTCATTTCTCCTGGCTTTCTTTGCATTCGTCGTAGTCGTACTTCTCCCTTCTTCATTCTGGGGGTGGTCGTGCCCTCTCTTTTCTGGTCGGTGGAACGGCTTCTTTTTCTTGTTACCTTCAGTTTTCCAACGGGGAAACTTTCTTTTCAATTGCTCCTGCCTCCTAATGGCTTGCCCTTGTGATTGTCGTTGTTCCACCTCTGGAGCTTGTGCCTGCCGTGCCGGATCCTGCAAAAG